CTCAACCTTCTGGACTCTAGTGATCCTTCTACCTCTGCCTTCCAAGTAGCTGGAACTACAGGCGTGTGCCACCCAGCTAATTTTTTAGTTTATTGTAGAGACGAGGTCTCGTCAAGTTGCCCAAGCTGGTCTTGAACCCCTGGGTTCATACAATCCTCTCACCTCTGCATCCCAAAGTGCTGGGACTACAGGCTTGAAACACTGCACTTGGCTAAATATTTATTTCTTATATTTGCTGAACTATGAAATAGTTTGGGTTAATGCATCATTTCAAGAATATATTCATTTTTGATCATCCTAGAAAAATACACACACTCAGAATGATTTTTTTTTTTTACTTTTTATTGTAGCCTTTCACTGCAATCATTATTTTCTCCTAAAATATCTTATCTCCCATTGTCCCTCTAGCACAATATGCTCACTTTTACCTCTGAATATTTGCTGACATTTATTATCTGACTTGGAAATTCTTTAGTATTTTCCTATATTCTTGAAGTTCCAGACATTCTTTAGGTCTAGGTCAATAATCATCTTTCAAAAAAACTGTATTTCTCTTAGAATTAGTAGCAGAAGATTCCTTCAAAGTATTCCTTAAACAGTACCCTAATTTTATTTTAGTTCCCTAAGTTCTCCACTATTATTTTTAGAATGAGTTAATGTAGCACTTGGCCCTAAATTTCATGTGGCAAATATCTCCATGCTGTCTTCATTTATATCCTCAAAGAATATAATACATATTTACTGTATGTATTAAGTAACCATAATGTATTTATCCTTTTATAAAGTATGTGAACATGTTGGCTATGATTAAAATGTACTCATGCAGTCAACAGAAATTTTCAGAAATTTGCAGGAAGACATTAACTGAATGTGTATTTCCCCTGGAAGATGTGATATCAAAATTAAACGCAATATACATTACCTTAACTGGATGCATTAAGCAAAAGTCATGAGTTTTTGTTACATGAAAATAGCTCATGGCTTTTACTTAAGAAAAGAATGCATGTTAAATTTATAGCAAAGTATAATTATTATTGTAAAATCAAAATAATTCAAATAATTATTTTACTGTATCTTAAGCAGAGAATGCTTATTTGAATCTACAGCAATGTGTATAGTTGGTAGATATCATGTTATTTTTTATTACAAAGCTCAACTATTTTAATTTCTCCCTTGGAGCATTCATAAGATTAAATTTCAGATTGCCATCTTGCTTGTGGAAACTGCATAAAAATTAATAACAAGACTATATCGCTTTTCTGTAGTTAAAATATTGTTCATGATCTTGTCACAGCTCATAAACTTTGAAACAATGGATGAAAACAAGAGGAGACTTTTTCAATGTATATTTGTGCCCTAAAGTACAACTATAATTTCCTTTTCTATTAGTTATTTTAGACATTTCATAAGCATAGATATTTGTAATAACAGCATGCTCTGTGCTGATTTTATTTTATACATCTATAAATGAAAAGTGAAAATTTTTGATGGTATCTAGTGATTAAACAAATGACAACATATTTGCTATATATTTA